CCGCGTGCATTTGATTCGATCGGAAGGAAGGTGTTCATAGCGCGCATGTGCACCGTAATCAGACTCTGCCTTCTGCCCCTTCGGACCCGTCTACCACGTCGACTCGACGTGACTGTAAGCCCTCTCCCGCGGTCTACTTAGCTGCCGGTACTTTGCACAGTTTCTACAGCTTCAGCTGCTCAGGGCGATAGCCGGAGCACGAAATGTGGACACTCGAGACCACCTGGTCGGCCTTGGGTGTGCCCAACTTGCAGACGGTTTTGAACGACCCCAGCTTCAGGGCATTCAGTCGGCCACATCCCATAGATGACTCTGGGTACGTACGCTCTTCTCAGCATACCAGAGAACCCGTAATTCACCGTCGGTAGCAAAATCTGGTTGAATAACCTCGCCATCCCAGTCTACACGTCTTTGCTTTCCATTATTCTACTTCTGCTTCACGCTGTCATCTCAGCCTTCGTAATATGGCGCGCAAAATCCAAAAGCTCGACCACCGAGGTCGAGCACGAAGACGTCCAGCCGAGCACGAGGACTACGTTCACGGCTCGTTTCCGCAAGCACGTCCAGAACCTGGGCGGCTGGGCCATCTTTTCGTGGAGGATCTCTCGCTTCATCACTCTTGGTGTCTTGACCGGTCTGCAGGCTTACACAGTCTTGCTCACGCGCAAAAACGCTGCGTACGATGGACACGTCGGCTCTATCCTGCATTGGCTGCAGCTCGGTTTGCAGATCGTCTACGTACGTGTCCCCGACCAGCGCACACGTAAGCTCTCCGTTATTGATCGTTTGATAGGCGTACGCAATCATTTTGGCGTGGGCGTCCATCGCTGCGAGAGCTTCAGTTGCCAGGATCTCGGCGAGGCACCTTTGCCTCGTCCTCGTCGTCACCTGGGGTGTCTTCTTCTACCGAGACCTTTGGCCTTCTTTGACCTATGTCCTCAGCCCCCTCGACGCGCACGAGGGCTGGCTGATCTGGACGAAAGTCGGCCTGCTGACTTGGGCCGCGGTCGTGGTTCCTCTGCTTATCCCTCGCGAGTACACCCCTGTCGACCCCAAGGCATGTGTACATGCGCCGATTCCTCCCTCAATACGTAATATTAACTCGGGTTCAGGATCCTGCTGCGGAGGTCAACCCAGAACAGACGGCATGCATTCTGTCCATGTCCCTTTACTTGTTCCTGGAGCCTCTGATCTGGAAAGCTTATCGCCTCCCTCATCTGCCTTATGACCAGCTCTATCCTCTGGCAGACTATGACTATACTAAAAATCTTGTCAAAAGGAGCTTCTCTGTAGGTGCTCGCAACTCAGTATACCTCGTGATTGGCTAAAAATTCCTTCTATAGTCTCTTGATCCCTTCCAGACCCATAGCAAGAGGCATATCTTCTTTGGCATCATGAGGGTATTCTGTACGTGTTCTTAGTATCCTGAATATATCACCAGCTCTTTCACTGACCAGAACGCCATCCAGGGCGTGAATATATGGTACTTAGCCTCTCGATCGTCGTTCGAGTATGTCTCTGGTTATTTTCGCGCCGCGTCCACGAGCTCAGCGTCCGTTCAGGTTATTACCACTTTTGCAGTCCCCATTGGTATCTACAAATTGCTGGAGTAAGCTGTGATTCTCTACATGGTCTTCACGCTTACTGAGGCATCTCAGCTATCTCTCTGGCACCGGAGACCAGGTCGTTCGTCCCATCGTGTGGGTTGCGTGGCTGGCGCTTGGGCCTATCCTTGGTTCGGTCGCGGTGCAATGGTACATTTTTGTTGCGGTACAAATTATTCTGCTTCCAGTGCTTCAACAAAGCTCATGGCAAGTTTCCTCTGTAGACTCGGCTCCTCGTCCAGACCCAAGCGATCATCACCCAGCTGGTCTTCGACCACGCCCTGCGCATCCGCGTGAAGGCGGACACGGCAAGCACGACGCCCACCTCGAGCGCCGCCACGACACCCGACACCGCGTCCATCGCCGAGTCTGCGCCGTCGGAGGGCGGGGACGAGTCCGAGGCGGAGACGACGACGGCCGTCAGTGAGGGCACGGCACGCGCGTCAAAGCACAAGCGCGCCACGAGCGAGGGCGGCGAGAGCACGAGCACGAAGGTGTCTGAGAAAGCGTCCGAGAGCGGCGGCGCCAAGGGCGGGAACCTCGTCGGCAAGCTCAACAACCTGGTCACCACCGATCTGAACTACATCGTCGACGGACGCGACTTTTTGTTCATTCGTGAGTGGTGTCGTTCTCTGGGTGTGACAGGGGGAAAAAGATGCTGAATTGTGGACAGTGATCTACATTCCCTTCCAGATCTGCCTTTGCATCTGGTTCTTGTATAACGTTCTCGGCTGGAGCGCGTTCATGGGCGTGCTCGTCATGGTTGTCATGTTCCCGATCCCCGGGTACGTCGCCAAGGTTGTTCATAGCGTGCAAGCCGCGAAGATGAAGAAGGTGTGTATCGTCTTCTGTTCTGGCTGGTTACATTTCTGACCTGGCATTACAGACGGATGCCCGCGTCGAGCATGTCACGGAATGTACGCGTCCTCCCTTACACACATACGCTTCCGCACACTCATTGGGATTTACAGCCATGAACGTCATCCGCATGATCAAACTCTTCGGCTGGGAGCCCAGAATGAACGACCAGGTTGCTGAAAAGCGAGAGGACGAGCTGACGTATATTAAGAAGTTTAAGATGCTTGAGTTGTTGAACGGCATTCTCAAGTGAGTTTTTACCTGTACGGCGCAGTGACCGTAACTCACAGCCTCGACATAGCTTCTGCATTCCTGTTCTTACCATGATCGTCACTTACATGGCCTACGTATGTCTCTGTGCTCGCTGCTCTGGAATATCTATGCTCACCTGGATCTCAGACGGTGATCATGAAGAAGCAGCTGACAGCATCCCGCGTCTTCTCCTCGATGGCTGTCTTCGATATCCTCCAAGAGAACATGCACGCTATCTTCGGCTACCTGCCAATGATGATCCAGGCCAAGGTTTCGCTCGATCGTGTCAGCGAATTCATCACCCAGGTGTGTCTTTCGTTTAGCTAGCCAGCCTGAAGCCTCTGCTCACCGCTCCCAGACCGAGCTGCTCGACCGCTACACCGCCGAGCTCGAAGAAGACGAGGCGCCGGCCTACGTCCCGCAGGTCGTCGTCGACCCGAGCGTCGTCGGCATCCGCGAGGCCGCATTCACCTGGAGTCGCGACAACGACGGCACGCAGACGCCGGGCAGGGGCCGCCGCAACTTTGCGCTGCGCATCGAGGACGAGGTCACGTTCAAGCGCGGCGCGATCAACCTCATCATCGGGCCCACCGGCGCGGGCAAGACGTCGATGCTCATGGCGCTCCTCGGCGAGATGCATTACCTCCCGGCCGGCCCCGAGTCGTACGTCGCGCTCCCGCGCGAGGGCGGCGTCGCGTACGCCGCGCAGGAGTCGTGGGTCCAGAACGAGACAATCCGGGACAACATCTTGTTTGGTGCGCCATACGACGAGGAGCGATATAACAAGGTCATCGATCAGTGTGCGTTGAGGCGCGACCTGACTCTCTTTGACGCTGGTGATCAGACCGAAGTTGGTGAGAAGGGCTTGACTCTCAGGTAAACGGATCGCTGGTGAGTTACATATGATCCCGCTAATGTCCTTCGCAGTGGTGGTCAGAAGGCTCGCATCACTCTGGCACGTGCTGTTTATTCGAAGGCCGAAATCTTGCTCTTGGACGATGTGAGTATATGCAGCAAGGTGGTTGGTGATGTGCACTGACGTGTCTATCCAGGTTCTCGCAGCTCTGGACGTCCATACATCGAAGTGGGTTGTTGAGAAGTGCTTCATGGGCGACCTCATCCGCGGTCGCACCGTCTTGCTTGTTGTAAGTGCACGTACACTCTGCATACAGGACCACATGCAAACTCACATTTTGCCTTGCAGACTCACAACGTTCACATCACCCGGCCCATCGCCGATTACGTCGTTTCCCTCGGCACAGACGGACGCATCAAGTCGCAGGGCACGCTCTCGAGTGCGTTGGCCAAAGACAAGAAACTCGCGAAGGAGGCCGCCGAAAGCGCACAGGAGACCGACAAGGCCGAACACACAGTCGATCGGAGCGAGCCCGTCGCAGAGAGCGCTGCACCAAAGTCTGACGGCAAGCTCATCGTTGCTGAGGAGATTTCTGAGGGACATGTCGGGTGGCCTGCACGTGAGTACATGGGGTTCTGCGCTGTCGAAAGCGTATTGACGTAGAGCATTGCAGTCAAATTGTACCTTGCTGCTCTTGGTGGAGACTCGCAGTTCATCTTTTGGTCTCTGTTCTTGGGAGGCATGATTCTATGCCGTCTCGTCATGACTGCGCAGGCCTGGTACCTTGGTTATTGGGCACGCCAGTACGAAACACACGACCCTTCGGAAGTCGACGTTGGCTAGTAAGTCCCCATGTATCCCCTTAAGTGCATACCTGACATAAGCATACATCTAGTTATCTCACGGGTTACTCCCTGATGCTCGTTTTCGTGGCTACGGCGTACATCATAGGTTATGTTGTCTTCGTATACGGTACACTAAGAGCCTCACGTACCATCCACCGCGACCTCGTCATGTCCGTCTTGGGAACGACTCTCAGGTGGCTTGACAAGACCCCGACGTCGCGTATCATAACCCGCTGCACGCAGGATATGCAAGCTGGTAAGGTCGCTCCCTCGCTCCAGCTCCAAGTGCTGACATCCTTTTCAGTGGATGGTCCCGTCGCCGAGTACTTCGGCTGGCTAGTTGACATGACTATCTCGATGCTCATCAAGTTTATGTCCGTCATTATTATCTCGCCGACGTTCTTGCTCCCTGGCATGGTCATCTCCGTGCTCGGAGCGTGGTGTGGCCAGGTCTATATCAAGGCACAGCTTGCAGTCAAGCGCGAGATGAGCAACGCGCGTGCTCCAGTTTTGGGTCACTTTGGAGCTGCGGTTGCCGGACTGAGTGCGTGGTGTCAGTTTGACGAAGGCGGCGGTTGCTAACTGGACGTACAGCGTCCATTCGTGCATATGGTGCCCAGGAAGCCTTCAGACTGGAGTCTTACAAGCGTATCGACAAGTTCAGCCGTGCAGCTAGGACGTTCTACAACCTCAACCGGTACGCATCTATCTTCGACGTACGCTAACAGTCTAATTGTCTGGAATGCTTAGATGGGTTTGCATCCGCATTGAGGCACTTGCTGGTTTCTTCTCTGCCGGTCTTGCTGCTTATCTCGTCTACTGGGGAAGCGTCTCAGCTTCCGACACTGGTTTCGCTCTAACTATGGCTGGTATGTCGAAAGCTTATCGTCGACAGACCCTTCCTCACCTCTCGTAGTTGGCTTCAGCGGTATGATTCTCTGGTGGGTGCGGACACTCAACGAGTTCGAAGTCAGCGGTACGTCCACCTCTATACATCTCGGTCCTAGCGGCGGGCTGACATCTTGCACAGGCAACAGTTTGGAGCGTATCCAGCAGTATATGGTCATCGAGCAGGAGCCCAAGGCCACGCCTGAGGGTATACCTCCTGCCTACTGGCCCGCCAGCGGCGAGCTTGTCGTCAACAAGCTTTCGGCAAAGTATTCCGTAGATGGTCCCACAGTCCTCAAAGACATTGCGTTCCACGTCAAGTCGGGCGAGCGTGTCGGTATCGTCGGCAGGACAGGCAGTGGAAAGAGTTCCTTGACTCTTTCTCTACTCCGTTGCATCTTGACGGAAGGCGAGGTCCTATACGACGGCATCGCCACAGACAAGATCAACCTGGATGTTTTGCGTTCGAATATCACCATCATCCCACAATCGGTCGGTTCTTTCCAGACGCATTGTTCGCTGTTTGCTGACAGATGATTTAGCCCGAGCTTTTGAGCGGCACTCTTAGACAAAACCTGGATCCTTTCAGCCTGCATGACGATGCAGTCCTCAACGACGCTCTGCGCGCAGCCGGTCTTTTCTCACTGCAAGATGAGACCGACGAAGGGCGCATCACGCTCGACAGCCCGATCTCGAGTGGGGGCAGCAACCTATCGGTCGGCCAACGCCAGATTCTTGCACTCGCGCGGGCGATCGTCCGCCAGAGCAAGCTGCTCATTCTCGACGAAGGTATATCTCGTTCAAAGTCCGAAGTACGCTGGCATGTGCTGACGAACACGGACTGTAGCGACCTCCGCCATTGACTACGAGACAGACACCGTCATTCAGGCCTCACTGAGACAGAGACTAGGGAAGGACGTAACTCTTTTGACCGTCGCACACCGCCTCCAGACTATAATGGATGCAGACAAAATTGTGAGCAGTGCTACCTTTGTTTGATCCGTGTAGATGCTTATCTTCCGCATAGATGGTGCTCGACGCCGGCCACGTTGTAGAATTTGGCAAGCCGAGCGAGCTCCTGGAGATAGAGGGCGGCATGCTGAAGGCTCTCGTTGATGAGAGTGGGGAGAAGGAACACTTATACGCCATGGCCAGTGGCACTGCTTGATTTCACGTATATATGTACCTCATGTACAACCGGGTTTCTCTGGGACACTCTTGAATTCCGTGTAAGTGAATAGAATAGCTTTTAGATCGAACGAGATGACAGAACAGAAAGAGTGAGCGGTGAATACACAAGAACACGGTACGCGTAAAATTAACAGATATTGAGTAAGGAATACCATTGGCAAGAGATCATACGAGAGGTTAAGATACGACGAGGATGTCAAAAATCCACGACTGAAAAACACTAAACATAATCAAACTCTAGATGGCAAACAACCAGCGCGTCAATTAGGGCCTTCTATACCCACCATCGGAGTCCCGTGAGCGAGGCGGGGGATAGTCCCTAGAGTTGGCACCACTCCGAGACGGTGCTGAGCCAGAGTAGCCGTTGCCTGCATAGACGCCAGAACTGCCATTGTAGGTCGGCCCAACAGAGCGAGATGGGTAAGAGTCATAGCCAGCACCAGATCCAGAACGGGGTGGAGGACTTTGAGAGCGTCGTCTGTCAGGAGAGATGAGCGACAGGTAGTTTAACGGAGCACGACGCGACACGAACCGGTAGCTAGGTGCTTCTGCGCTTGCACCGCGAGGGTAATCCGCGTATCTAGCGGGTGGAGAAGCTGGTCGGCCACGGTATTCAGCGGGAGGAGGATAATCACTAATGATTTATAAGAACATAGGAGTCGGTGGTAGTTCGGATAATGGTCTTACCGAGGTGGAGGTCGGTCATAATCTTCCCTAGACCTCGGAGGTGGGCCAGGAGGCGACCGGGGTCTGACAGGTGGAGGAGGGTAAGGTGCATATCTGTCGCCAGGCGGTGGCGGTCTCCTGTCATGGCGGTCATAGTAGTCACGAGACGGAGGCGGAGGATAGCGCGGGGGATAACCAGAGGGAGGAAGCTCAGGTTCAGGATAGTAGCCGGATCGAGCATCATAGCGAGATGGAGGAGGACCTCTCGTCCTGTAATCGTCCATGTCTCTACCGGGGCGCGCAACAGCAGGAGGCGGGTAATCTCGATAGTCACGAGGCGGCGGCGGCGGCGGCGAAGGTGGTCGCCTGAAGTCACGCCCAGGTGGAGGAGGCGGATAGTCATAGCCGTAGCGAGGATCCCTGGGAGGAGGATACCTAGCATAGTCATACGAGGGGTAGTCGCGAGGAGGCGGCGGAGGAGGATAGTCCCTAGGAGGCTGAATACGATCTATCAACGGCGCAGAACTACGGCGGGAATCCCTGATGCAAAAGTTAGTCAACGTCAATACGGTAAAAATATGCACTGACCCAGTAGTAGAATTCGGGCATTCACTTCGAACATGCGATATTAAAATAGTGCTAGGGTTGAGAGGAGAACATGGGATCTCACCGAGCCCAGTGACCAACCTGGCCACATTTGAAGCAAGCACCAGGGTCGTTGCTATATTTTGCTGTTCTCCCACCGCCATGAGACAGCTCGACACGTATTTTGTTGCCCATGAAAAAACCTTCATGATATTTTGCGACACTTTCCTCCGCGGCTTCGCGGCTATCGAATTCCTGGGGGAAAAAAGTAGATTTGAGATCGAGCCGTGTTTGGAAGGTACGCCATACACACCACGAAGCCATAACCGACTCTAATGACGTAGCGACGAAGAATGAGAATGGAGTCCCAAGATGTATTTGAGGAACTTACTTAAGCTCAATAGCTACTATCTTGCCAATCTTGCCGAAACAACTTTCGAGGTCTTCCTTGCGGGTGTGTTCGGGGAGTCCGCCAATGTATACTTTGTTTGGCTACAAAAAATGTCAATGAATACCAAGATCCTCATGGAAGAAAGAAGTATGAGAGCGCGACATCAGCAGTAGCAGGCATGAAGCAGGAATGCGAGATGTAGACAGAGGCAAAGACGGAGTCCCAGTGTGGTTGGAGTGACGGCCAGCCCGTGTGAGTCATCTTTGGTGCCATAGTCAACCAAGTAGGCTGCCGCCACGACAGAGAAGACTAAGAGACAGAGACACTGAGCGTTGAAGCATATTCGTGTGCATGCCAGCTCAAGTTGAAGACAGGGGTTGTTGTAGTGAGAAATAGAGATTCGACAAGCACCTTGATCTGCTTTTCACCGCGATGAGTGGCATCTGTGTTCGTGGCAGAGGTAGAGTTGGCCTCTGACGCGGAAGACCCAGTACGTTCGAAGGAAGCGTCGGGAGGCGGCTGGGCAACATCGCGTTTATCGTCTGAAGGGCGTCCTGTGCCATTTGCAGCGTTGACAACGTCGCCATTGGGGGGTGATGAAATCATGCCAGACGGGTGATCGCCCGGACGATTCCAGTTTTCTTGCTGCTGTGCGCTGCCAGCGTCGACCGGCATAGGTGAGGCTGCCATGAGTGTCAAGATTAAGAACAACTTCAACGCGCTGAGGAACGCGTAGAAAATGCGTGGCTCTTTTCATTCTCCGTTCGAATTTTCGAAGCACAATAGCCAATCTCCGACAGTCCCCGAAGAGCGCATCAGATGCGTCCTTCCGCCGATCCTTCGAATCATTTGCTCCATGTGCAGACGCCCATAAGCGCACATCCCACAACCTCCTTTGCTACCGGAGTTACAACTTAATTCTTCGCCCTCCATTTCTGATCTAGTTTCGGGTGTATCGCCGTTGTTTATATCTCACAACATGTACACTCGGGAGAGACATAATGCCAGAGCACGCCAGTCGACTGCGAGCCAGAGAAAGAAGGGCAAGCGCAAGGCGATCTCGTCCCCGGTAGAGGAACCCGACTACGACCCGAATGCCGAGGTTATTGTCTCTAAATCTGAGGAACAAAGGCAGCTGGACAGGAAGGAACGACTGAAGCATGAAGTGAGTTCTAAGCTGGAAGTATTGCGCAAGGAGACTGACGTACTTCGTATAAGCTATTAGCTCAGCAGGACTCTAAAGTCAATAGCAAGAAGAAGAAGCGGTTAGAGAAATATATTGTGTGTTCTCCCTCAGCCGTGAAATTCTTTTGTCTTGACAGCTTGACCTCGTATTTAGGACAAGAAACTCAAGCAAGAAGAGCGTGTGGCGCTATTCGAGAAGCTCTCGTACGTGCACATTCTGTATCACGCGTACTTCATCTCACAAGATGCAAGAAAGAGCCAAGCTCGCGGAACCTCTGCTTTAGGGCTTAAATCTTCCTCGACACTTGGAACGGGGAAGGCAGTCACCCACCAGGAACGTATTGCGAAAGAAGAACATCATGAAGTCAAGCGCGCCCTGGAGGGTTCAACTGGCAGAAAAAAGCGTAAACGTCCTTACAGATCATATACGGGCGCTGCCACCGACAGCGAAGACGAACAAGATGCCCCTACAGGCGAAGATGGCCGTTCTAGTCCTTCTGCCGCACCAGAGCCAGAGTCAGGGAAGACAAGAGCCAACCCAGTTGTCATTGTTGACTCTGGGTTCTCCACGGTCAAGCAGGAGCCTATACTCACCCCGGCCGTAAATGTCTCCTACATTGGCTCAGCCTTGAAGAGGGCCCCGGATGGCTCCGCCATTGCCCCACGAGTTGTGAAGAAGCAAGCCAAGTCCAGGGCTGTAGGTACCAAAGCTGCTTCGCCCTTGCTAGTATTGATATAAATATATCAGGCACCTTCTTCTTGGAAAGCGGGCCTCGCGAAGACTGTGGTCGAAGAAGAATCTGATAGCTCGTTCGACAGCTCAGATTCGGCATACGATTCTGACACGGACAACAAGGACAATGACCAAACCGATGATGGGGCCGCCTCCCGTAGCGAGCCTGCGGGAGAAAGCGACAATGCAAGGAATGAGACGCCTGAAGAAGTGTCCACCTCGCCAAAGAAAAGGCTAGGATTCAAAGACTGGGCTTTAAAGCAGCTTAGCGCCGCCAAAGGATACGTTGCACCACCCACAGATGAAGCGAGTTCGCTGCCTCCGCTGTCTGCTCCAGAAAAACCAGTACCTCCACCGCCGAAGAAACGAAAGGTGGAACTCTCGCAACCTGGCGAGATGCGTGGCCCTCTAGGCAAAGATATCGTTCTTCCCTTGACGTCGTTTGCGAAGTATTTGCAGGAGTCCGCCAAGGACGGTCATCGACGGAAGGTAATCGAAGTCAAGCGCCCTCCAGAAGTCGAGGAGGCGAGATTTATGCTTCCCATCGTTGTAGAGGAACAGCCAATCATGGAAGCCATACTCCTCAACGGTGTTGTCATAGTTTGCGGCGAGACCGGAAGTGGAAAGACGACTCAGGTTCCCCAGTTCTTGTATGAAGCAGGCTTCGGCTCCCCAGGAAGTGGCAAGTACATTTGCAAGTTTACTGCGCCGTTAGCTCATGCTGCCACAAAACAGATAATCCTGGGATGATTGGTGTTACCCAACCGCGTCGTGTGGCTGCTATGTCCATGGCATCTCGCGTTGCGCACGAGCTTTCCCTTACCTCCTCCAAAGTTTCCTACCAGATCAGATACGACGCTACTGTATCGCCCGACACCTTCATCAAGTTTATGACGGACGGTGTCTTGTTACGAGAGCTGGCGACAGACTTCCTACTTACAAAATATTCCGTCATCATCATTGATGAAGCACACGAGAGGAGCATGAACACTGACATCCTCATTGGTGTATTGAGTCGTGTCATCAAGCTACGCGAAGAAATGTGGGTTCAGAAAAAGGACGACGTCAAGGTAGGTCTCAAGTCCCAAGGGAATGGGAAGCAGGATAACTCAAATCTACCTGTAGCCTTTACGCCTCATTATCATGTCTGCCACTCTTCGCGTATCCGACTTCGCCGAAAATACGACTCTCTTCTCTACTCCGCCACCCATCATCAACGTCCCCGCCCGACAACACTCCGTTACTGTTCACTTCAGCCGACGTACCGCCTCCGACTACGTCACGGAAGCCATCAAGAAAGCGAGCAAAATACATGCTCGCTTGCCTGCAGGGGGTATACTGATATTCTTAACGGGCCGGAACGAGATTGCTGGCGCCTGCAAGAAGCTGGAGGCTCGCTATGGCGCGATGGCAATAGCAGAGAGAGGACGGCGAAGGAGCGCTTCCGCGGTAGCGACAAACGTCTCAAGTATGACTACAGGCGAAGGCAAAAAGACCAGTGTAGCTCCTGCTCAAGCTGATGTGGAGGCGGAAGACATGGACCTTGGAATTGACCAGAAGGATCTGGCTCTCGACGTAGATGGCGACAACGCCGATGTCGACGTGGACGACGAAGCCCTGGATAGTGATGATGAACTGAACAATCAAGAACTCGGCATTGATACTGAGGAGTCTGAAGGTACGTCACCCACACCTTGCCCAAACATCTGGATCTGATGGCGAGCAACTAGTCCCTATGCATATCGTTCCGCTGTATGCCCTCTTACCGAATGAGAAGCAAATGCAGGTATTCAAGCCCCCGCCCGAAGGACATCGCCTTGTCGTAGTATCGACGAATGTTGCGGAGACGTCTCTGACCATCCCGAATATTTGTTACGTTATCGATTGTGGTAGAGCCAAAGAGGTGTGCTGATCTATCCATCTTTCGCTATCTACTCACGCCAACTTCTCGTGACAGAGGCGTTACGATCACGCAAACAGTGTCCAAAGCTTCCAGGTTAGCTGGATCTCTAAAGCGTCCGCTGCACAGCGGGCCGGTCGTGCGGGGCGTACAGGTCCAGGTCATTGTTATCGACTCTACTCTTCTGCAATCTTCGAAACGTACTTCGAGCAATTCTCGCTGCCGGAGATCCTTCGCATGCCGATTGAGGGAGTCGTCCTTCAGATGAAGAGCATGCACGTCGACGCGGTCGTCAACTTCCCCTTCCCCACCCCACCCGATCGCTTGAATCTCAAGAAGGCAGAGACGATCCTGACCTGCCTGGGTGCACTCTCAATTCCGGAGTCGGGCGCCGCTGCCGGTGGGCAGATTACTGACGTTGGCCGAGCAATGGCTCTCTTCCCTCTCTCGCCGCGGTTTTCCCGGATGTTGGTCAGCGGCAGGCAGCATGGGTGTCTGCCCTATGTCATCGTAATTGTGTCCGCGTTATCTGTAGGAGACCCCTTCCTGCGAGAAGAGGCCCTTGATCAGGACGAATCGTCTGACGAAAAGGACGAAGATCTCTCGCACATCCAGAGTGAAGCTGTCAGGGCGAAGGAGTCCCGTCGTTTACGTCGCAAAGCGTTCTTCGAATCTCAGGAGGTACGTCAGCTTCTTCCTCTGTCGCTCGATTTGCTACCTTATTCGCACGATCTTGTAGATCCATGCCTCTCTAGGCCAGCATACGAGCGATGTCTTCCGCGTGCTATCCGCCGTAGGAGCCTACGAGTATGCCGGAGGTGGTCACAAGTTCTGCACAGACCACTTTGTTAGGCCCAAGGTATGATCGGCGTGGACTGGATTCAGCAAGTGGGGCTCACACGTCTGTACAGGCAATGGAAGAAATCCATAAGCTCCGCGCGCAGATTAGCAGCATCGTGCACACGAATTATCCGGACACAGATCCTGGTTTCGTCCCGAATTTGCGTCCGCCAAACAGTCTTCAGGTACGCTCTCTGGTGATGACACTGGCGGGATACGGCTTGGCTGACGTCGCCCGATAGCTGAGGTCCTGAGACAGCTGCTTACGGCTGGCTTCATCGACCAGGTCGCCGTCCGGAAGGACAGGGCCGAGAAGGAGTCTGCGTCGGGTGACCAATACACAACGTCAAGGGGCGTGCCCTATCGCGCGATGGGCATCGACGAAGATGTATACATCCACCCATCGTCCGTCCTGGCAAATCAGCCGCCATCCGAGTTTGTCGTTTTCTTGGAAGTAGTGCGTACGTCAAAGGTCTGGATAAAGGGTGAGTGATCTCTCGCTCATTCGCTATCACTCGGGTTTTCATGCAATGTGCCCAGGCCTGACTGTTGTCAATCCCGCATGGCTGTCGCAATTGGGCAGGTCACTCTGTACTTTCTCGAAGCCCGTCAGAACGAAGGAGGGTGTTTCCGTCGTCGTTCCGCACTTTGGGCCTGCGGGATGGGAGCTTCCTCCAGTAAAAGAGAACAAAATAGAATATTAGTTGTACTCCCTGTCTGTAAATTATCTGGAACTTAAGCTATGCTTAGCGTAAGTACAAAGTTAGAATGCAGTGGCAGCGGCGCTATAGTGTAGTGGCTATCACTTGGGATTCTGATTACTAAAATTCCCAAAACCCAGGTTCGAGCCCTGGTAGCGCCTCTATTTCTCCATAGATAATAATTTTTTTTCATTCCTTCGCCCAAACTCAGCTTTTTCGCCCTTCTATAGGTACCAGTGCACACCACCGTCATGCATTAGTACAATTCACCTTCGCGCATCCGGAAATACAGCACGGTTCACACAGCTCGTTGGACTGTGCAACTCCAGTGTTGTATGTCTGGTCAGCAGGGTTCCAGATAAGTTCCTGATCAGGTCAACGTTCAAAGGTTACACGTTTTCAAGCTCCAGCCATTCTCACATTTTTGTCTACCTTAGTACCAGTCTCATATCTGTGGCAAGCATATCAAGACAGCTATCCATCTAATTGTAATATCACTTGATGTTCTTCAAGCAAACGGAACAGTCAGACACCTGTGATCGATGCTATGATGCTACGATCTGGGCTGTAAGCACCAGTTGCACCAAGTTCATTCCGAAAGGCTGATGAGAGTCATGCGATGCAACGTGATGTTCATATTCCACAGTGACGATCGTTAATTATTGCCAGTATTAGTACACGCATAATGACGTGAGCACAATATTACATGGGGACAGATCAAGAACAGCACTCGCGAAAGGCGAGCATTCAAAACAACGACACAACACCAGACGAATACCGAAACATATGCGCAATTTTGGTATACAACCCGGCCTAAGGCAGAGTAGCATGCCAGCCAAGCAGGACTAGAGTATATAGCCCTAGCCAAATGAAGCAAGAGAACCCACAGATCCGCGTAGTGCACATATGGCACGCCATTCAGATGCACATGGGGACGGGCCCAGAACGACGACGGGGCCTTGCGTTACTGTCTGCCTGTAGGGTTGTCAATGACCAATCAGGGCGTGCGAGTGTCGACGAAAGCGGGCTCACCAGAGCGCATGGTCCGCACAAGGCTGCTCATTCCACCGAAGGCCCTGCGCCTGAACGACTCACCTGCACCTGCACCACTACTTCCAACCACGTCGTCGCACTCATCCTTTCCGTGGTGGCCGCCCTCGCTGCGCCCGACGAGCTGCCGCCAGAGCTTTGGCTGCGGCGTAGCAGCAGGCTGTGGGGGCGTGACAGGCTCGGATGGCTCTGGCGATGTCGGGACGGAAGACGAGGTGTGCGACGAACTCTCAGAGAGCGCGGGAGACAAGGGCATCTGGCTGGAAGCGTTGCTTGGCAGGCCCACATCTTCGCGTTTGCTGGGTGCCGCAGACATAGTCGCCGGAGTCGATGCCCCCTCCACCCCGTCGGGCTCCTTCGCAGGCGTTCCGCACGCCGTCTTGGAGTGGGGTTGCGTACCACAGGACCGGCTACCATCCGAGGAAACGCTCCAGGAGTAAGAATGGGACCTCGACCTATAGTGCTGACGGACGTCTTGTGCGTATGTGGCAGCATTTGAACTCAACCTGGGCTCGGTCTCGCTCGACACCTGATCTCCCCGGTCCTCATCGTTCAGCTCCGTGATACCGTCCCGCGGCAGCGTACTGCGCCGCTTCTTGAAGAAATGACTGTGGAAACTGTACACGCTGTTGGTAGGGCATGCGATCATGTCCTCCCGAACGCTGAAGTCCCAGCTGTCCATGGTACGATGTGCCGTCATGCCAGGTACAGGGCGCTTCTCTTGCCTTTGCACTAGTGGAGGCAAGCCCTTCAAGACAGTCCCAACTAGGTACCCTTTCTTCTTCGCGCTCTTGAAGAAGCCAGTATTGAGCAAGTCCTGTGCTGTTGGCCGCTTACTAGGGTCCTTCTGCAGGCACTGGGTGACGATATCCGCGAACGCGGCGGAGTATGTATGCACACCGGTTTTCCGATCCATCTTCGGCGGCGGCGAAGTGGCAACGTGCGTGAGGACGGATGCAGGGGCGGCACGCGAGAGCGGTGCTCGGCCTTGTGTAAGTTCCAACGCGGTAATGCCGAAAGACCAGATGTCGGCGGACGCGTCATATTGCTTACCAGTGATGACTTCCGGGGCCATCCAACATGGTGTGCCGACAAACGACTTGCGCTTGCCTGCTAGGCGCGGCTTCGGATGCGAATGGGTATGATTGTGGCCGTGGGTATAAATGTGTGATGAGTGGGTATTTGGTGTACGAAAGCCAGATGGTGAGCTGATGTCGATCGGGTTCTTGCCGTAGGACTTCGCGTTTACGGAATCTTCGGTCTCCCACAGGGGCGCGGCGACACCCAAGTCACCGAGTAACACAGTACCATCTTCGTCAATGAGCAGGTTCGCAGCTTTGATGTCGCGGTGAATGAGACCGTTGATGTGGAGATAACTGTCAAGACAGAGCGTTCGCGTCAGTACAAGGCATAGGCGAGATGATCGCGGCAACGTTTTCAAGCTACGCCATCGATGCGGCGGGAGGGAAAGGACAGGTAGGACGACTCACTTGATCCCCTCAAGAGCCTGCTTGAGGATACATTTGACGACATCTTCCTCCATTCCACCAGGCCAAGCGTAGCGCATCACGTCCGCTGCGCTTCCTGCGTTCATTAGCCTAAGGGCAATGTACAACTTGTGCCCGTCCATCCACTGTCCGCGCACACGGAGGACGTTCGGATGCTTGGACAATGACATCAGTTGTGTTTCTTGCATGAGCAGGTGAAGGGTGTGTTGCGGCAGGCGATCAAGGTCGACTACTTTGAGTGCGCATGGCGTCCGCATCGGCTCCGGTGTCGGCTGGAAAGTCGCTGTGTAAACGATGGAGGAGGCACCGTATCCAATGGGCGGACCAATGTCGTAGTCTTGTGCGTGATCGCTGCCGGAGAGCGTTGAGACTCGTGCGCAGGATGAGATAGAGGGCTGCACTTGCCTATAGAGTTGCCATTCGTCTTTAACTGCACCGATGAAGTTTCTGGATATCGGATCTGTGGCAGCTGTAGCAGGGGCATTGACAGAGGCAGAAGGCATGTAGTACTGCTGTGCTACCGAAGGCTAGTTTTGCAAGTTGATGATCGACGGCAGCTTTCTGACGGATCGCAACGGTGGTGGTAGTGGGCTGTGGTAGAGGACAAAAATGGGGCTGGTGCGGATTTATCATGTACGGCAATGTCGCAACTTTCTGGGCAGTGGCGGCGGCAACAGGAAGAAACAAGCTTGTTATGGAAATTAGCCGATGCCGGCTGCCACAGGCGCTCTACGAACGTGTGGCGGGGTCGGGCACAACACACCGCAGAATATCGCAGAGGTACCGAGTGGGTTATGCGAGCGATGTCGCTGCCCACATGTGAAGCAGCTGTTGTGTGAACAGCTTCTGCATCCCGTGAGTATCTTGAAGTGCGAATCGACTCGGGAACGCATACAAGAAGCATACCGCGGGTGCTTAACGCTTGAACAGCCTCCATCGTCTTCCAGAGCGCTTGCAGGGAGCTCGTTCAACACTTCATTACAGCACGAGCCTCGAACGCCACTCCGGTAAACCCGCCTTTTGTCCCAGAATCCTTCGAAGCAGCGCAGGATGCTACACGCACAGAAAGGAGTTCATACGCGGTCATGCATTTAGGCCGTGTGCGATGCAGCAAGGTTGTACATAGAAGGAATACGGGCACCTGGAAGAAACTGATAATACTCCAATGGGCCATCTGTTACTACAGTATCTTGAGCTGATTGACTGTGGCTCTCTGTGACCCTGGGCAATCCCCTCATGCGCAAACGATCTTATGTTTGACACGCAGCGTACCCAAGGGCTCCGTGATTACGATGGAATTTGCGAGGCGGCCATACCGATTATCGAAATTCGAAGAATTGAGTGAGAGCGAGGGAAGCGGTGGTCGGACCTTCATGGTGCAAAACTTGAAAGAGTTCTGGGTGAATATCATGCGATAGTGACCCTGAGTCACTCTCTGTCAGCGGGCCACTTGCTGGCATGTCGGAATCACATGTAACGTGTGTGACGCAAGATGACACGCCCTTCCGCTCGTCCGCAATATATGAGGTAGCCCCTTTTTGGTAGTTCCATACAGTAGTTCCAAGGCCCTTTCTAGGAGCGCGACGACCGTTCCAGCCCTTGTACTCAAACGGTAGTTGTCGGGCAACATCTAGCCAGCCACGGATAGATTAGGTCATTGTCTGACTCTGGAGAGACCTGTGCCAAATCGTCGCTTGCGTGAGGTGACCCGAGGCACGTCTAGGCGGGTCCGAGGTGGCTAGTTTTCTTACAGAAATACATCCACACTTGGCCACTTGCTTGCCTCCACGACATGGCGTGCTTGCTCATCGAGGCACACAGAAGAGCTCGCGCCCCGTGACATCATATGTTTCTTCTCTGCTCCCTCTGAACTTCGTTATGGAGGCCTTGCTGTGTTTTCTCGCGAGGTAACGCCAAGCCGTGCGGTGAAATCGGAAGGAGCCGGTGTGATAGCAGATAGCCGGGCCTGATGGGATCTGCAAATACGAGATTGGGTATTTCTTCGGCGCCCCGCTGCTTGGCGCGAACCCAGCACGCTGGACTCTACTAGCAAACCCGCGGTGGCATTCATCCTATTCAAAGTTACTCTACAATTCGACTAACGGCCGCCACCGACGCATTGATGTTTTCTGTCCACCGGCATCTGCGCATTGGTGCTGCGCAGCTGGCGCTACGGCGTCGGAATGTCACAGCTCGGTAATGAAAGCTTCAAGCACAAGCTCCGACGTCGGGCGACAGCGCCCTAGGCTTGCGCGCGGCAGTCCGGCCAAAGCCGGATGGACTCCGTTGCCGGCGCTAAAGCTCATCTGCGGCTGGCGGACAGGACTACTATTGTACACTCGTTTCGCGCGCTGTGCATGGTAGAACAAAAGTACAGGTATCTCTGGGGCATTGGAGAGGTCCACATGACTTCCTTCATGTGGTTATAGTGAACGTCTCGTGCCTCAAGACGCTATACAGTTGGGAAGATTATGGCAAGCCTTCCCCTTCGCGAAGACACGATTTCTGGCTTCCATACGCTCGGTCATGCCTCGCAGTTCCGGAGAACTTGTTCAGAAAGGACACAATAATCGGCACACTCCGATTGGCTGCGATAAGGGAGTGGGATGCGTGACGCGTGACGGGAGCGGCGCCGCGATAACGGGAACTCTGTTTGCTCGGATCCCTTTCTCCCGTCTGGAGTCGTTTCCAGTCCGTGTCGCTCCTTGAGCAACCTCTCTCATCTTCACTCCTTTCACCATCCCGCCTTCCGCCATCTGTACATGGCACCCAAGCAGCCCTGCGCAAAATACGAATACGTTCTCACTTCGCAAGGTCCCAAGATCCTCCCGGTCGCCGAAGCACACTCACGGGACGAAGAATCCCCTGCTGACTACAACCAGGGGGGCTATCTGCAAGTGAAAGTACGCGACACCTTCAAGGACGGCAGGTACACTGTAGTCCGTAAACTTGGGTGAGTACTCTTCAGGCGTGATTACCGACCTGCACTGGCAGATTACGTCCGCCATCCGCGAGGATCACGTTCTTTCTGCTCTTCACGACTTCACGACTAACCACTTCACACGACTAGATGGGGCCATTTCTCCACTGTCTGGCTGGTCAAGGACCATCAGTGAGTATCCACTTCTTCGTCTCTCTCTTGACACACTGGTTTCGACGAGCGCCGTTGACCGACGAAACCTGTCTTCACCGCCGATCGTATGCTCGATCGACACTTTCAAGAAAGTATCCCATAACTACCGGCCGCACGGTTCGCACTCGCACGGACGAACGTGCAAGTGCAAATGACGTTTTCTGCGCGTCGAACGAGGCAGACGTGGCACCCGGGGGCGACGGGCGACCACGCGTAACACGCTGCACGTCGTCAGACGCCCCGTTGGTGCCCTCCGCCTCAGCTCCGAATGGCTGCCGGGCCTGAGTTCCTGGTCAGGCTGCTAATTCCAGGAACAGCCCCAGCAGACCGTTCGGAAGGTCGAATCGATAGCCGAGCTGCCATGAGGCCATAAGCCCCGGGTCAGAGAAGTGCAGGATTTACTCACATCTTTTCGTCTTCTAGGGAAAATAGTCATTCAGCTTTGAAGGTCGTTAAATCCGCTGGACGTTATGCCGAGACGGCTCGCGATGAGATCAAGCTTCTACGGCAGGTCATGGCGGCCAACCCGTCTCATATCGGTCGCAATCACATCGTCTCATTCTTGGACTCTTTCACGCACGCACCATCCATTCAGCAGTGTGGATCCATCTCCTCTGCATCCGCTATGAATCCCGACGTTCACATATGCATTGTGTTCGAACCTCTTGGCGAGAACCTCCTGGCACTCATCGAGCGGCACAAGCAAACCGGCGTACCTACACCCCTTGTGAAAATTATCGCTAAGCAGGTCCTACTTGGCTTGCAGTACTTGCACGACGAGTGCGAACTTGTACACACTGATATCAAGCCTGAGAACATTAGTAAGTGACGCGGCTAATCATATTGGCGTGTTACTGACTTGCCTATGCTCAGTGATTTCTATACCCAACGTGGAAGGACACATTCAGACACAACTTTGCACTTCTCCTCCGCCTACATCACGCAAGGTTGGCGTCCCGCCGAAACCCGCGCCGCGTTCTGGCATCCAGATCCCGAAGCGCACGAACACGCTCTCAGTAAACACCAAGCAAGCACGACAGGTGCAAATCTTCGACAGTCAGCCGCTTGTTAGCCCAAGCGCCAGCTCTTCGTGGAGCTCGCGGGGCTTGCTCCAGAGCCTTACCAAGCTTAAGGAAGCGTCGTCTGCCAGCAGAAGTGTGAACGGTAGCTCGGTGAGCTTACCGGTCGCGGGCAAGTCGAAAGCAGTTGATGTGGAGGCGGACGCACACGCGAAGCGGGGGAGCGGCGAGTCGGACATGTCGGACATCTCTAGCGGACCGTCGAGCATGGCGGTATCGTGCGGCGTTAATGCAAGCGTCGACACGCCGCCGTCGTCTGTCGGTAGCCTCGCCGGCACGCTAGAGAAGATGGCGTTGAGCTCGATGGATGGGAAGGGGAAGGTGGTGGCGACGAAGGTTGAGAAGGAGATCCAAGAGGCGACGTGCACTTGTATCTTTGACTGGAATGCGGCCGAGGCGGAGGGTAGTATGCCTAAGAGTAGATTAAGCGCACCTTCTGGTCCCTCCCTTCTCTCCCGAACCGCTCCTCCTGACCTGCATCGTCACAAACCTCATTGTTCCACGCATTCCAAATCTCCTACCGATCCGTCCGCGCCTCTCCCTGATGCAGATTCGCTCACTCGTTCGTTGTCCTCGTCTTCGTCTCCCTCGACTGTATCACCTTCGATATCATCCACGTCGTCTCCTACGCCTTCTGCGAATGCGTCTGCGCTGCCGGTCCATGTAAAGATCGCAGACCTAGGCAACGCGACGCCCATCCGGAAGCACTACACCGAGGACATCCAGACACGACAGTACCGCTCTCCCGAGGCAATCACGGGGCGCAGCGACTGGGGCGACACGGCCGACATCTGGTCTATTGCCTGCGTCGTCTTCGAGCTGCTGACTGCCGAGTACCTGTTTGACCCGCAGAGCCAGGGTGAACTGTTTGGCAAGGACGACGACCACTGCGCGCAGATCATCGAGCTGCTCGGCACCTGGCCGGAGAGCGTCCTTTGGGGTGGGCGGTACAGCCGCGAGATCTTCGACAGTAATGGTGAGTGTCTAGTCCAGGTCTCTCTGCTCGTGTCTCTTCCATCTGTTGCCTCGTTGCCTTTATGTACCGGGCCAGTGATGTCTCGTTCCGTATTCGTGGCTTTGAGCGCGAGGTGCCTGGCTTGTTCCCTAGCACCGGAGCCGCCGAGGCCAAAAAGGGCGAGTGACGGTGTCTAGTTGATGGGCGCAGCAGATGAGATACCTTGTGAGTGTTATCGAGTATTGTTAGCTGATGAACGTTCGGCTCGTGATAGGTCACCTGCGGTACATCCGTAATTTGAAACCTTGGCCTCTGAGGCGTGTCATGGTCGAGAAATACGGCTGGTTGGAGAAGGACGCGGGGGTGGTGTGCGAGTTCCTGCTTCCAATGCTCGATATCGACCATCACAGCCGTGCTCATGCGAGGGACATGGTTAATCATCCGTGGCTGGAGGTCAATCTCGAAGACCTCCATCGCGCGAAAGACTGGTGAACGAACACTCACCACGCGACTGCTTTGCCGGCCATCCCACGACAAGATGGTCGTCCGACTCATCCCTGCAACCCGCCCTGACTCCTTCACATTCTACCAAATTACGTGTCCGGACGTGGTTACGGCGTGGCGGTCGCAAGCGAGATGCGCGCAGCTGTTCACTACTTTATACGATGAGGTGACGAATGATGTTTGAGTCTAGGCGCCTCTGAAACGGGGCACCTGGTCTCTCCCGAGGCGCCTGACCAGTCCGGTTGCCAACGCACCCCGTCTCGCCGACCGTCGCGGTCACATCGTACACTGTCCAGACAGTGGTCGTCATACCCATCATCCTTTCTACACGTCACTTTCTCACGCATGACTCCATCGCATATTCTCCATCGCATATTCGCCATGCACACACCCGACATGCTCGCCCCTATCCATCGCAATGTTGTCCCTTCCTATTGTTCTCTGCATTTTCCCGCATCCTCCTCCTCCGCTTTATTACGTTCTGGGGCCTTTGGGGTAGCGGTTCAACCGCCTGTTGTTTCATTTGCTATCTATTCCCGGCTGTCTTATGCTAACCTAGCCCTAATCTTACCTCTAAGATTTTGGGCGCCGCCGCGCAGGCGTGCTGCGCCCTGTAGATTCTAGATTACGCTTGCTTCATTCGCTGTAGTATTACATGTTTACAATCACCACACATACCCATTTTCTCGCCGCCTTCGTCGATCATGCACTTTCCCTTTTTACGTGCTGCCGCGCTACCCAACCCTTCTTCCCGTCCATCTCCGTGTTCATTCACGCCTGATTGCGCGCGCATCCTTGTTAACTTACACGCGTTTCTTGTCTGTAATACTTCTCATGTCTTCCCCACACAGACTCTCACGATCCCGTCACGGTAGTCATGTCTCCTCAGATACGTCTATCATCATGCGCACCTGCTTCATGTCCCTTCACGTTCACGTTCAATACAATAGCATCCTTTTTTGCCTTACAGTCTGCAGAAGTGTTTAACAAGTGCTCAGCCGCGCTTGAGACTAGCACAAGTGGGCATTTTGATTGGCTGGCGACCATAGTTGCTGTTCGTCACAAGGTGCGGAACTCGGTTTTTCGCACTTTACCGTGTACTATCACCTCAATCCTCACAACGCTATTACCAGGCACATAGTCATTGCGAGGACACTTGCTTGACCAAGGAGAAGAGACGTTCGACTCAGCCAGTTCGAATTCCTCGCACGTGACTTTCAGGATATTAGCTTCCGTTCGTCACGATCCTTGTTTCGCTGACCACTTCATCGTGTAGATTAGCACTTCAAGCCCATAGAAGCTAAATCGCGACATTTCATTCCACCACATGACGTGAAGAATACGCAAGACATATGCAGCTTTGTCAAGCCTCCGAGCTGTCGAAACTCAATTGCAGGACCAGTCGCGGCTGTAATGACGCGGGATTGTAGGAGGAGGCTACACACAAATAGGCACCATTGGTTAACCTCGCTGTCTGCTATCTCCTTGAGAGAGTAAAAGAAATTACGGCTACGACTGATTTAGTCCAAGCGTAATCCCAACTCTTCTCAGAGCTTTCTCTTTTGATTCTGCCACCACCTCCACTCGCACTCAATATCCAGCACCCAATATCCAATCCGACCCTCGCTCATATTGCGCTTGCTGGAGCCTCCCTCTGACTGGCGACTAGTGGAAAGCATTTTGTGCTGACGGTGTAGGACTTAGTGAGCGCGTAGTTGCCTTTGGGACCTCCCCTTTGTCGATGTTTCACAGGTCAACTACTGGAACCACGTCAGAATTGGGTAGGCTCGTGCTCACTGTTATTTGAGCGTCGGTACCGAGACTGATATATCACTATCAAGGCTACTGAAACCGATCAACTCCGTAGCCCCGTCCACCCGGCGCGTTCGCCGCCGCAGGTTTTCGCGGTTTGGCGTCCCGGTTTGCTGTCAACGTACCAGCAGGGTATGCACATTGGTATTTCGTATTCTTAGTCTTAACCGTGTTTGCCGTACGCCGAGTCTGACCCAAAGCTGACGAATGCGACCCACTCCTCGCTCCGGAAACTTCATGCGGCACGGACACTTGTTACCACCGCCACTGCCATACTGGCGTTGGCGCAGAGGCTTTGACGGAGCCAGGCTTCTCGCCTGAGGAATTTCTTGAACCATACCCACAGCATGGCAAGTTTTTCAGCTTTTAGATACAGACTCGACAGGTGCTAAGACGTGTCTAGCTGTATGAGACGGAAGCAAAGCGCGGAATCCGCCGGCGATGATCGCTATTGGCATGTACCACGGGGCCGGTGATTCCCCACTCCGCGCGCAACGAAAAACGAAGAGGAGGAGGCAGACTACGTAATTGCTTGGTATGGCCGAGTCCCCTGCAGTTGAGGCCGCTGGCCCGGCAATGCCCCGGCTATGAGCATAGCGAGACTGATTACTATGCTGGCCCCTCATGCATCATATCCGACTCATCCTAGCAGGGCAGGTCCTCAGGATCGGCTCCGGGCATGCCAATCTAATCAGTGCCGAGGGTAGTACTCCAACGACTCCCGCTATGCAGTCGACATTGTCTAAGAGCACTTAGAGAGCCGATTTCCGTGCCCGGGCAGCACAAGAAACGCCCATCTGCCCGGGCCAGTGCTGACAGTGCAATAAACCCAGGGAGTACAAAAGGTCGGCCGTGCGTGTAATTATACCTCACTAACATCTTACACTGCAGCAATGTC